ATGGAGAGGTCCCAGGACAACTTGCAGGAGTTGGCAAAGCTCAGGTCACCAGCCTGGGCACCGAGTGCCTTCCCAGTGGTCACACACATCTATGTATGTGTGTGCTTACACATGTATATGTTGATTGGTTTAGGTGTGTGTGTGTGTACACAGAGTGTTTTCTGTTTTAAAGATTAGACATGACTACATCAAAACTTTTTTTTAAAAAGATATGTCTACAGAATTCTGCCAGTATGTACACTTACGTGCCGGAAGAGGGCGCCAGATCTTATTATAGATGGTTGTGAGGCACCATGTGGTTGCTGGGAATTGAACTCAGGACCTCTGGAAGATCAGCCAGTGCTCTTAACCTCTGACCCATCTCTCCAGTCCTACTGTGTTTTCTTTTTGGCAGTGGTAGGTACTAAATCCAGAGCTTCTGATATACTAAACAAGTATTCTACCACGGAGATCTGTTTCCAGTTCCTGGACTTTGTTTGGGTAGTTGGTCGGTTAGGTTTTGGTTTTCTTGAGACAAGGTGTCTCTATAGGTAGCTCAGGGTGGCCTTAAATCCACAGGGATCCTTCTGCTTCAGTTGTCTGAGTTTTGGGACTACAGGTGTACACCACTATAAATCTAGCTGGTAAAACAGAACTTTAATTATGTTTGAAACACACACAGCTTGACTCATGGAATGCTCATTTACACACTGTGTTTGTTGTTTTGTGAGTTTTGTTCTTTTTTGTTTGTTGGTTTTGTTTTTTGTAATGGTGTCGATGTGCTTTGTTTGGTTTTTTGTTTGTTTGGTTTAGTCTCTTGGGATCCAGTCTTGTAATGTATCCCTGGCTGGCCTTGAACAATGAGCAATCTTCCTGGCTATACCTCCCAATGCTGCCATTACAGGTGTGGACCATTATACTCCAAACCCTTACTGTAAGTGGTGGGATGTCATGGACCTTCAAGTTAACTTTCTTGTAACAACCAAGTTCTTCGGTCCACTGAGCATAACTGTTGTCATACTTAAAGCTAGGGGGTGTGACCCACAGGCACAGGGAGCTCCCTGTCCCCACTCTCGTCAAACCACGACCAGGGTTACAAGCACACATCCCCACACTCGGCTTTACATTTTATTTGGGTCCTGGGGAATCAAACTCAGTCAGTGCTGTGTCAACTGCGCCCTGCTCCCAGTCCCATACATAACTAGTTTTCTCACAGCTCAAGATGTTTCCTTGGGCCAACTCTCACTGCTGAGTAACGTTCCGTGATGGCTATTTCACAGTTTGGTTTTTTAATCATTTATTACCTGAAAGACATCATGCCTTTCCAACTGTGGGCTATTCCATGTAAGCCTGCTGTGGACATTCCTGTCACTTCTGCATAGGCTTATGTTTGTTCGTTTGAGTTTTTGCTGCTTTTCGGTCCTGGTGCTTCAGCACACCCAGATAGGGCACCCCCAGCCTAGGGCAGCACCTTTTGCTGTTGGTTTGGTTTGGCTTTGAGACGGCCTTGCTGTACCGCCAGGCCAGCCTGACGCCTGCGACCCTCCCATCTGCGTGCTGCCCCTCTCCCTGTAGAGTCTTTAAGTGCTTGGAGGTGCTCTTCTCGGGTCACATGGAGTTTTTTTTGTTTGTTTGTTTTTTTGTTTTTTTCCGAGACAGGGTTTCTCTGTGTAGTCCTGGCTGTTCTGCAACTCATTGTATAGTCCAGGCTGGCCTCAAACTAACAGAGATCTGCCTGCCTCTGCCTCCCGAGTGCTGGTATTAAAGGCCTGTGTCATGACTGCCAGATTTTAGAAGTATTTTCTAGAATGATACCTTGATAACTTTTCCTAGGAAGATACATGCAAATATCTATTCACCCACAACCAAACAATTCCACCAAAGTCCAAAGTGGAGAAGCAATGGATTTCCTAGGGTCACTTGCAGGAGCATGGATGACTCAAAGGCGGCTGTGTCACTAAAAGGCCTACGTCACATGGGTGATGACTCATGAAAGCTGCATCTCTGGGGCTTCCTGTGGGACTTGTGGAGGGAGCTTGGGTTTTCCGACTTTAAACTAGTATATATACACTACTGAGGGCGTGTCGAGATCTCTCTCTCTCTCTGTGTGTGCATGTGTGTGTGTGTGTGTGTGTGTGTGTGCGCGTGCGTGTGTGTTTCTCTGTCTCTGTCTCAATCCTGTCTTGTGTCTTGGGGATAGAATTGAGAACTAGCTCTACCAACATCAACCCCCTTATTAATTTTGTTAGTTTCAGGAACTTTCTGAGCTTTGCATGTTTCATCTATTTCCTGAGTCTTTTTTTTTTTTTTTCTTCCCCAGACAGGGATTCTCTGTGACTTTGGAGGCTCTCCTGGAACTCACTCTGTAGACCAGGCTGGCTCTGAACTCACAGAGATCCGCCTGCCTCTGCCTCCTGAATGCTGGGATTAAAGGCGTGCGCCACCAATGCCTGGTGTATTTCCTGAGTCTTAAAAGAGTCTCCTTCTAAGACAATGTTTGGAGGGAAAAGCCACACAATAAATGACTGAACCATTTCACATTTCAGAAATCTAGCAAGTGAGATCCTGTTTTTTCTGCATTTCTATTTGAACTTGATATTGTCAAGATTTTCCTTTTTCTTTCTTTCCTTTCCTTTTTATTTTTTAAAACAGAGACTCAAACTGTGTAGCTGAGAATGACCTTGAACTTCTGATCCTCCTGCTAGGATTACAGGTGCCCCATTTCTGGTTTATGCCTTTCGTGGGATGGAACCCAGGGTTTCCTGTACACTACACAGCATTCTACCAATAGAGCCACAGTCTAGCCCTTCTCTGTGGATTCAATGTGCAATTCCCTAACAGGCAGCCATATTGAACATCTTGGAGGTACGTAGCATCCTTATGCCCCCTTGCTGAACTGTCCAAGATGCCTGCTTATTTTGTAATTGAGTTGTTTCTTTTCTTTCCTTCCTTCCCTCAATTTTTTTGTTTTGTTTTGTTTTGTTTTGTTTTTGGAGACAAGTGCCAGGAGGACCAAGTATGGGCCACCACACCCAGGGTCTTGTTTTCGTACTATTTTAGTCTTTCATGAAAGTTTAATTTTCGAGACAGGGTCTTCCGTTGCAGTCTGGCACTCTCTAGCTCGAGCTGGCCTCAAACCCTCAACGGTCCTCCTGCCTCAGCTTCTTTTTTTTTTTTTTTTTTTTTTTTTGGTTTTTCGAGACAGGGTTTCTCTGTGACTTTGGAGGCTGTCCTGGAACTCGCTTGGTAGTCCAGGCTGGTCTCGAACTTACAGAGATCCGCCTGCCTCTGTCTCCCGAGTGCTGGGATTAAAGGCGTGTGCCACCAAGGCCCGGCGCCTGCCTCAGCTTCTTAAGTGCTTGTATTACAGGTGTCCAGCCGCAACGGTTTTTAAGTTGTATTTTTACATTATTTATTTAAAGTGTGTTTGGGTAGTGCATGTATGGAGAGGTCAGAGGACAACTTGTAGGAATGCATTTTTTTCCTCCTTCTACTATGTGGGCCCTATGGACACAGCTCTGGTCCTTAGGCTTCAAAGTAGGTGTCTTTACTTACAGACCCTCCAGCCTTGAAATTCGAATGGACTACAATTTATCTTCGTCCCCCACCCATCTCTTGACTTTTTTTGATTAGTCTCTTGGAATTTATTTATATTTTATGCACATTAGTGTTTTGCCATGGGTTTCAGGTCCTCTGGAACTGGAGTTACAGACAGTTGTGACCTGCCGTGGGTGCTCGGAATTGAACCCGGGTCCTCCGGAAGAGCAGCCAGTGCTCTCACCTGCTGAGCCGTCTCTCCAGCCCGACTAGCCTCTTGAAGGGTTCCCTTGTATTTTCCCCAGAAGGTTTCAAGCTATCAGCGTCTCATTTAGGCCCATTGTGGTCTGCCCCTTCATACGCTTTAGGATGGACTTATCAGGATGGCACAGTGGTGCCCACCTGTAACGCTAGAACTGGGGAGGCCAGGACACGAGGAACTCGAATTCTAGGCTAGCCTGAGGCACATAGCTAAACCCTGTCCTCCCCACCCAAAAAGATTCCTGGTTTATATCTGCAACTCTTTCTGAGGATTCACCTAAAAATGTCATTGAATATATAGATCAACTTGGAGCAAGCATGTCTAGAATGTCAAGCCTCCCATTTCAACATAAATCCAGAGGCTAGGGATGTATCTCAACTGATGGTGCCTGCTAATCCTGGCACTCACAAGGTGGAGGCAGGGGGATCAGAAGTTCACGGTTGCGGGGTGGCGCACGATTTCAATCCCAGCACTCGGGAGGCAGCGGCTGGCGGATCTCTGTATGTTCGAGGCCAGCCTGGTCTACAGAACGAGTGCCAAGACAGCCTCCAAAACAATACAGAGAAACCCTGTTTCGAAACGCATCCCCTCCCCCCGCCGCAAAAAAAAAAGTTCACGGTCATCTTTGGCTGTATAACACGGATCAAAGTTCTCTTTCTGCCTAGGCAGGTGGTCTGGGGGCGTAGTACGAGGTCCCAAATACAGGTTTTACTCATTTCTGCGGAACTGTCCAAAGGCTTTTCCAGTCTGGGCAGAGAGCCAGGTCCACTACGAAGGGGCTAGGAACCCAATTACCGCAGTCCCCGTCCCTTCCCGCCAGGGGGCAGCGCGTCGTGACTCGCGGGGAGCCGCAGACGCTCGGCGCCTAGAGCGGATCCCTCGCAGAGGGCGTTGTCCGAGGTGGACACCCGGCCTTGACTCGATCCCTCCGACCTCTCTGCGTCCGGGGCTGCCGGGACGGCGGGAGGGAGGTCAGCGGTCGACACTGTGGACCCCAGACTGGCCTCCCGGCCCCTGCCCCGCCCCGCCCCGAACCCCCCCTTCCTGATCTGCAAGTCTCGAGGACCCTTTCCCGCCTGGATCCTCGCGCCACGCCCCCTCCTCTCGGCCCCGCCCTTATCGATTAGCCCCACCTCTGACAGCTCAGCCCCGCCCTCCAGACCGCCGGGAGTCGGGAAGTCTCGCGAGACTGAGGTTCCCTTGCGCGCGCGCAGGAGGGAAGCGGGGGCGGGGGGGAGGGGCACGGAGGCCGGGAAGGCTACGCGAGCCGGCGACCGTCGGTTCCGGCTTGGGGACGGGGGCGCGCGTGCGCACGGCGTGGCCCCCGGCCGGCGTCCGTGTTCCGAGCGCGTCCTCGTCCTTTTCCCCGAGGGTCGCGTCGGCGGGCGAGGCGCACGCGGGTGGAGGGGCGCTGTGGGACGGAGCGAGCAGGTAGGCGCGGGCGCGCCGCGAGCGGGAGCCACGTGACGAGTGAGCGCAGGCCGGGCGGGGAGAGGGCGGAAGTGGGGGCGCGGAGCGGCGGGGGCGCCCCCTTGCGGCCGCGGCGAGCGGGGCGCGCGGGCCCTGAGTCTCGCCGCGTGTCCTCCGAGCCAGGGCCCAGGCCATGGCGGACAGCAGAGAGCCCCGCGCGGCCGTCGAGGCGGAGCTGGACCCCGTGGAGTACACGCTCCGGAAGCGTCTCCCGCACCGCCTGCCGCGCAGGCCCAACGACATCTACGTCAACATGAAGACGGACTTCAAGGCCCAGCTGGCCCGCTGCCAGAGGCTGCTGGACGGGGGCGGCCGGGGCCAGGGCGCGTGCGCCGAGATCTACATCCACGGCTTGGGCCTGGCCATCAACCGCGCCATCAACATCGCCCTGCAGCTGCAGGCCGGCAGCTTCGGGGCCCTCCAGGTGGCCGCCAATACCTCCACCGTGGAGCTGGTGGATGAGCTGGAGCCGGACACCGACGCCCGAGAGCCGCTGACCAGGATCCGGAACAACTCGGCCATCCACATCCGGGTCTTCAGGGTCACGCCCAAGTAATGGAAGCGAAGCCGCGCTCACGCCCCGGCTCCCTGGCGTCCGGGCTCGCCCGCGCGGCGCTCGTTCGGGCGAGGACCTGCCGCCAGAGCCTCGCAAGGGCAAAGCGCGGCGCTTCAGCCTCGAGGACTGCAAATGAGCCCGGAAGTGCATCCTCCCCGCCCCGAACAATAAAAGCGCCCGTTTGTGCTGCTGCCCGGCCCGCAGCCTCCGCTTCCTGGTTTGGTTGTGTGCGCGCTAGGGTAGGAGCGGTCGGAAACTGCGAGAACTTAGGCCCAGGGACAGAACCCACCACACGGGGTCCCAGGGTGGCGTGAATCAAACGCGAGAGCGTCCCCGAAGCTCGGTTCAGCGTGCTCCCTGGAGACCCGAGAGTAGACACGTCTACTGAGCTAACTGCACCCGGGAGGATCAGGCGCCTCTCGCACGTTCCCAGGTTTGGGACAGGTTTGAAGCTGAAGGAAGTGGGTTGTGGACACAGCTCATCCGGGGAATTGTGACTGGCGTTACCTAGTTGCCTGGCACAGGGCTGGGCAGCAGGTCCATCCCCTGGTGACCACAAGGAGGAGGACTGGGGAGATGCTCATCGGGAAAACTCTTGCCAGACAATCTTTTTTTTTTTTAATTTTTAATTGTTTTGGTTTTACGAGACAGGGTTTCTCTGTATTGTTTTGGAGGCTGTCGGTCCAGCCCGGCCTCGAACTCACAGAGATCCGCCTGCCTCTGCCTCCCGAGTGCTGGGATTAAAGGCGTGCGCCACCACCGCCCAGCTTGCCAGACAATCTTAAGTACCTGAGTTTGGATACCCGGGACCCACCTCACGCCAGGCACTCAGTGCTCACATCTGACTCCTGTGCTCCTCTAAGGAGACGGGTGACAGACTGGAGGGTTAGCCGCCCTGGCCTCAACCGACAGAAACCCTGTCTCTAAGTGGAAGGTGAGGGCTGATGCCTAAAGTCCTTTGCCTACACTGTGGCACATGTACCCAAACTCACACCACACAGGCACGCAAAAACACAGAGGAAGACTAGCTTTCTAAAGTCAGCTCCTTGAACTGACCTTTCCGTAGAGGGTTAGCTGAGGTGGGAAGAGGTGGTCTGAATGTGAACGGCACCATTCCATGGGCAGGGGCCCAGACTAAAAGGACAAATGGGAGAGCCCCGGTGAGATGACTCGGGGTTATAGGCAACCGTGACAACCTGAGTTCACTCCCCAGAGCCCATGTGATGGGAGAGAACCAACTCCTGAAAGTTATCTCCTGAGATGTTTGCTAGCTTTAGGACATACACAGTGGATCACAGCTTTGTTTTGGGAAAGCCAACTAGCCTAAGGGGGATGGAACACACCTCTAATCTCAACACTTCCGAGGCGGGCACGAGGGTGGTGAGTTTGAGACCAGCCTTCGCTACATAGCAAATTCAAGGTCAGCCTGAGCCACAGATCGAGATGCCGTCTCAAAAGCAAACAAAAACTCAGAAGAGGAAACCAGTAGAGTGAAGATGGCTTAGAGAATTAGAGGAAAATCTGCCAGCCACACATGACAGGAGATTAGTGCCTAGGATCACTAAGATCTTCCCCAGTCAGAGAAATCACGTTATCAGTTAATGGGCTGATATACTGACTCCAAAGTATCAGAGAGAACTGGGTGGTACATGGGCTCGGTGGTTAAAAACATCGTTTGCTTTTCCAGAGGACTCCGTTCAATCCCCAGAACCCACAGGGTTACTCCAGGTCCAGGGCATCCAACACCACCTTCTGGCCTCCCTGGGCACCAGGCACACACATGGTGCACATACAAACATGCAGGCAAACACAAAAAAATCTTTAGCTGGGCATTGGTGGCACACGCCTTTAATCCCAGCACTCAGGAGGCAGAGGCAGGCAGATCTCTGTGAGTTCAAGGCCAGTCTCATCTAGAGTGAGTTCCAGGACAATCTGGGCTGCTACACAGAGAAATCTTATCTAGAAAAACAATTTATACATACATACGCATATAATTTTTTTTTTTTTGGTTTTTCGAAACAGGGTTTCTCTGTATTGTTTTGGAGGCTGTCCTGGAACTCGCTCTGTAGACCAGGCTGGCCTCGAACTCACAGAGATCCGCCTGCCTCTGCCTCCCGAGTGCTGGGATTAAAGGCGTGCGCCACCAACGCCCGGCTATATTTGTTTTCTTAAAGATAGAGTTTCTCTGTGTAGCTTTGTAGACCAGGCTCATATAATTTTTCTTAAAAAGAAAGCACTCAAAGGAATAAATAGTTTGGTCAATGAATATTTGAAAAAAAGTCAACACTCTTTAACTATTAGGAAATGCACCCTAGTCAGGAATGCTGTGAAGAAAACAAGTTTAAATGCTGCCAAGGATGTGGGGAGGACTCCTTGTACACTGGTGGGAGGGTAAACTGGTGCAGCCACTGGTGGAATCAGTACGGGGGGGGTTCTCAGACTAAAAGAACCACAGCTGCTGTATGGCCAGCTACCCCACTCCTTGACATATCCCCAGGGCGCCAAGTCAGCATGCAGCGGGTTCCTGCCCACCCATGTCTGCTGCTGCACTATGCAGGGCGCAGAAGCAGCCCAGGTGTCTGGCCCAGGTGGTGGATGAGGGAGGTGCATCAGGGCAAGTGAGAGGGAAAAGGCCCTGGCCTCCGAGCTTGACAGCCTGATCTCTAGGGCCCACATGGTGACTCCTGCAAGTTGTCCTCTTTGAGAGCCCACACAGGAACACACACAAACTGAAATTCAAACACATAATAACATATCTTTTTTTTTTTTTTTTTTTTTTTTTTTTGGTTTTTCGAGACAGGGTTTCTCTGTGGCTTTGGAGGCTGTCCTGGAACTCGCTTGGTAGTACAGGCTGGTCTCGAACTCACAGAGATCCACCTGCCTCTGCCTCCCGAGTGCTGGGATTAAAGGCGTGCGCCACCAACGCCCGGCTCATAATAACATATCTTACAAAGAGGGAAAATATGGTTCTTATAATGGGTTTTTATACAACTGTAAAGACAAATGAAATTATGACATTTGCAGGAATATGGAGGGAGCAAGAGACCATTAAGTGGGAAAAGCCAGATTCAGAAAATAAAATAGCATGCATTTTCCCTTATTCACAGAATGCAGATTTTTCTTACTATTGGTGTTTGTGTTGCATATATGTGTGTGTTGCATGTATGTGTGTGCATGTGTGTTGCATGTGTGTGCATGTATGTGTGTTTCATGTATGTGTGCATGCACAAGTGTGTTGCATGCATGTGTGTTGCATGTATATGTATGCACATGTGTGTATGCATGTGTGTTGCATGCATGTGTGTGTTGCATGTATGTGTATGTGCGCAGGCTAGAGGTTGATGCTATGTGTCTTTGTCACTTGTTACCTTAGCTTTGAGACAGGGTCTCTCACTGAAACTTCAGCTTATCTCTGTTGAGCCGGCCATCAAACTTGAGGGAGCCCCCGTCTTGTTCCCTCACCCCTGTGGGTGGCATGTTGCCATGTGCAGCTTTTTGAATGGGTGCTAAGGAACTGGGGGGGGTCACAAGGAGAGAACAAGGCTGTGGTGTTTGAATGTCATTGGCCCCCATAAGCTCATAGGGAGTGGCGCTATTAGGAGGTGTGGCTTTGTTGGAGGAGGTGTGTCACTCTGGAGGTGGGTTTTGAGGTCTCATATGTGCTCAATCCACAAACAGTGCCTTAGTTCACTTCCTGTTGCCTGTGTATCAAGGTGTAGCCAGCACCATGGCTGCTGCGTGCTGCCATGGTAATGGACTAAACTCTAAACTGTGAGCCACCACCTCAGCTAAATGTTTCCTTTATAAGAGCTGCTGTGAGCCGGGCATTGGTTGCGCACGCCTTTAATCCCAGCACTCGGGAGGCAGAGGCAGGCGAATCTCTGTGAGTTTGAGGCCAGCCTGGTCTACAAAGCGAGTTCCAGGACAGCTTCCAAGACAATACAGAGAAACCCTGTCTCGAAAAACCAAAAAAAAAAAAGGAGCTGCTGTGGTTCAAGTATGATGTGTACAGGATAATGCTCATGCCAATCAGATGTCCATTTGTTACTGTGTTTGTTAACAACCCTCAATCTTAGTGTTATAAACTCCACTTAAAACTGATTAAAGTCTCATTCTTGTCAAAAAAAAAAAAGAGCTGCTGTGGTAATGGTGTCTCTTGAAAGCAACAGAAACCCTAACTAAGACAAAGATATACATACCATACACACACACACACACACACACACACACACACACACACATCAAGTGAAGCTGTTTGGTGAGAAGGGAGTCAGCAAGGAGGGGGACACCGGGGGGGGGTGGGGCACGTAAGAAGAAAGCACACTGACATATGTGCATGAAGACTCCACAGTGCAGGGCGGGGGGGGCACGTAAGAAGAAAGCACACTGACATATGTGCATGAAGACTCCACAGTGCAGGGCGGGGGGGCACGTAAGAAGAAAGCACACTGACATATGTGCATGAAGACTCCACAGTGCAGGGGCGGGGGGCACGTAAGAAGAAAGCACACTGACATATGTGCATGAAGACTCCACAGTGCAGGGCGGGGGAGGGGGCACAGTGCTGGAGCCTGCTTTACTACACACAAAACCCAGTTACCCCCAGAGTTTCACAAATGCAACACGGACCACAAACCTGTGATCCCAATGCTTGGGATATGGAGACAGGAGATCAGAAGCTAAAGGTGAGTTCCATGGTGAGTTTAAGGTCAGGCTGGGGTACATGGATACACACACACACACACACACACACACATACACACACATATATACATATATACACATACACACACATATATATACACATATACATACATACACACATATGTGTATATATACATACACATGAAAATGTCACAGTAAAACCCATTCATTTGTATGCTAACAAAAAAGTGAAGTGTTTTAAAAAGTGGAGCATGACTGAGTGGTGGTGCACGCCTTTAATCCCAGCACCTCAGAGGCAGAGGCAGGCAGATCTCTGTGAATTCGAGGCCAGCCTGGTCTACAGATTTAGTTCCAGGACAGCCAGGACTATACAGAGAAAACCTGTTTTAGGGCTGGAGAGACAGCAGCTCAGTGGTTAAGAACACTGGCTGCTCTTTCAAAGGACAGGGTTCAATTCCCAGCACTTACAACTGTCTGTGATTCCAGTTCCAGGGGACCCAACACCGTTGCACAGACGTACATGCAGGCAAAACACCAA